AGAGAGAGAGAGAGGGAGAGAGAGAGAGAGAAATAGTGAGGAGAAGAGAGAGCATAAGGAAGAAGAAGGAGGAAAAGGAGGCAAAATTAGTGGTGAATTAGTGCTGTAAAACATTTTACTTTCACTTCTCCCCCACTATTTCGCTGTAATTTCATATCAATTTTTGGCCAACAATTCAATTAAAATATTGTATACAATATATAATAGACTTAAGGATTGAAATATCAATTCATTTATACAAACAAATAAATAAAACGATAAGTCATTTGCAACAGAAAATCATTGTTTAAATTCATTTGAAAAGCCATACAATTGACTGAAACACATATACTGTATATGGAGTGAAAAAAATTGTTTAATTAATATCTAATCTATAAATTGAATGATAAGCGGGAAAAAAGTTCAAACAATGATTACCTATATTTTATGGACACAAAACACAATTCACACAATTATTGGCATTTCGACAACACTTACGCCTTGTTTTAAGTGATGATTGCCGGACGGCATGGATGTGAAGACCACTGTCTGGCCATTAGTGGTGCGTATGATCTGCCCGGCGGTGGTGTTGGGGCTGATTGTGGTTCGCACTAAAGTCTTGTGCGCCAATTGTTCTCCACTACCATCTGTTTAGACACACATTTCACACAAAACAATATTTAGTAAAACTAATAATAAAATACTGTATTTGTTATAAAGTTGTTTTTGGCTCTCATTATACAATTATAGCAATTGTTTCACACAATTCAATACCAATTAATTACTACAAACATAGCGTTTAGTCTAAAGGGGCGGACAGTGTGTTGAATAGCGCACAACAGGTGGACGGCATAATAGGTTACCCCGTATTACAGACACTGTATAATGAGAGCTCTTGGATGGGGTTAGAGGGGTGTAGAGGGGGTGGGGGTGTAGTAGTAATAGACCTTCATTTCCGTGGCTATCGTTCACATCATTACCACTCGAGTCGTCTAATGAGTCCATAACTCAGCGATAATTTCTGTTTCAAAGCATACAATAAAACACACCATTAGTTACATTACAACTCATATATCAATCATTGCCACTAATTATAGCCGATATATGTGTGGACACAAACACTCACCACAAATAACCGCATAGTTATATATAAACCCCAAAAAGCGCTACAATTTGTTAATTATGTGCAAAAACTTTCGTAAATTCAATACTAAATCAAATGTAAAACTTATTCAAGAATTGAGCGAAAATATCAATCTTTTTATTAAATTAAAAAATTGTTTATTATATAAGAAATTGTGTGCCATTTATGTAATGTAATGTTCGTATATGTACATGGTCATTTCAGTGTGAAATGCACACATCATATGTGATATTATGATACATGTATAGAAGGAATTGTTATACAGTATAGCAGTGCATATTAGGGTCGGTTATCCCCGCAAAGACATATTGACATTTCATAGTCGGTGTTAGCGCTAAATGTGACATAAAATCAATCAATAAAATGCTCTCAACGGGACAAACAAGCATCACCATATGACCATGGTCACATTCGGTCATATTCAGTGTCCCAGCATTAGGTACGCGCACACCATCTCATTCTTCCGATTCATTGTAGCCCTCAATACTGATCGTAATGTCCAAACATATGCTATACTAACGAAATGTGTGAATCGAGACAAGCATTCAATGCCAACAATTGGTGTGAAGTATGGAAATCGAGTCGAATATCAATTCATCGCAAACTAAATACGAATATGTATTTCAATCGCGATATTAATTACTCCCACTTTCTCTCCCCAATGCTAAACATATGGCGCACAAAACCCTCCCCCATATGTTGTGTATTGTGTTGAACTGGAAATGCATTTCTCAGATGTTATGTCGAATCGAAAGCCATATCTATTGGTATACAATCTATACGTATATATCGTATAATGCCTTCAATGTTGTAATGAATCGGCGATTCAATAGTCGCACACAAAACGCATAAATATCTATACATTTCAGTATATATGCAGTATATATACAATCTATGCAATGCCTGTATATATTAGAGCGGGAATACTATACACATATATGAGTGGTATATATATATATATATATAATATATGAGTCAAATATACAGTATATATACGAATACTTACGCTATTTATTGTGTGCCTAAAGATTATTCAGTCGTCGAGTGGTTTAGTGTAGTATAGGTTCGGAACCGACGTATGATTCGTGTGAACACTGCTATTGGGAACTATTGGTCGAGACGTGTGTTCGACGTAAACGTCTAGTCATCACAACCTTTACAACACAAACACTGATATAATGGTTGAGTGCGTCATATGTCAGACGAGTTCTGTACGAATGTGTCGTCGAAACCAAACCACAACGTCATCCACAGCTCACACACTCACAGACTAACACTCACACCATTTCCACGCGCTGTACAACAATCACGTCACACAACTCCCCCACCCCTCACATCCCGACCCAAACCCTTACACGCGTTCACTACACTTGACTACACGTATGGACTCTTCCCTCCAATCCCTCGCGTATTTGTCGCGTAATTTATGCGACGGAAAGCGTTGACCGAATGCGCGGCCGACGAGTGCGCACAACACGTGACGTATGCTATGAATCGTTTGGTGTGTTTTCACTGACATCTGAACTCCGGTTTTGATTACGATTTGTGTTTCGTATTTCGTATTCCCGACAAACCGTACGAACGGTTCGGGCCATACATTACGTCACACTTTATATGTGACTGTGTTTTACGGAATATTCTGTCGATCGGAGCGAACAGTAAGAGTGAGTGTCGACACAATCGGTGCGGCAATTGTGTCGACACTAACACTCATTATAGCGTTATTTATGCGTAGAATATATTGCGGACACAGTTTTGGCGCCAATTCTTGAGTTTAGGCATTGATTTGAATGTATTTCGCAATTCTTATGATAAGAATCGTCCGAAAGGGTGGACACAAGTGAAGGACACAAACAGTTGTGAAGGCATTGAGTTTTGGCATTACTTTCGTTGCGATCATAAAAGCGATCGTTTTTTAAATGCATTTTTTGTTTGTTTTCTAACTTTTCATTGAATTTATTGAATATATTTGTATCGAAGAAATGAGTTTCAAATGTAATTCACATTCAAATGCGACAATCGGTTCAATACATGCTTTCAATGTATTTTATGTTACATTAAATGATAAACTATTTTACGAATAGTTTTTGTATTTTTGCCAAAAATGTATGAATTATTAGCTTTTTTGTTGTTTTAATGGCTTTTAAGTCCCAAATGAATGTTTGAATTCAATTAATTAAATGTTTTAATGAAATGATGAAAAACAAAACTAAAGTATTTATTGAATGCAATGTTAAATACAAATATAGGAAAGGATTTGCAATTTTTGAAGAAAAAGTTTTTATATTGACTTTAAATGAAGGCATGCATTGAAATGCCTATCATTTGAAGCGCTTATTAATACTTGTATTAAAGCCTGTGTTTCACAAAATTTACAAAACAAAAAGTTTTTTCAACACAAAAAGCAAAACAAAGTTATGATTATTTAAAATATCGTTTTGAATGCATTATGTGTTTTGAATTGCAAATGAACTGCAATTCCTGTTATTTCTATGAAATAATGATTATTCAAATCAAAGTTAGGAAAATCTTCAGCAAAAGCGCCCAAATTTGGGTTAAGATTAATGAGTGTTAACACCTATGAGTGCTATTCATATACACCTCAATACTGTCTTATGCCATAAAACCCATGCAATCAGTATTAGGTATACTTGTATTCATTATGTTATGTTTAGTAATAGACAATTGGGTGGTGAGAGCACCGGGAGTACAGGTCTTCTCTATCACTGTGTGCTTATTTCATATATTAATAATAGCTTATTATATACCAGTAATCGTCAAAACAAAGCAAAAATAACACAAATTATGCACTTTTAAGGAACTGAATAGTAAAGTGAAACCATTGCTTGATATCCAAGAAAAGTCTCTCTCTCTTTCTCTCTCTCTCTCTCTTCGTAATCAAAACCGGAGTTCAGATGTCAGTGAAAACACACCAAACGATTCATAGCATACGTCACGTGTTGTGCGCACTCGTCGGCCGCGCATTCGGTCAACGCTTTCCGTCGCATAAATTACGCGACGAATACGCGAGGGATTGGAGGGAAGAGTCTATACGTGTAGTCAAGTGTAGTGAACGCGTGTAGGGGTTGGGTCGGGATGTGAGGGGTGGGGGAGTTGTGTGACGTGATTGACGTACAGCTCATGGAAATGGTGTGAGTGTTGGGCCGACACACAGTGTGTGAGCTGTGGATGACGTTGTGGTTTGGTTTCGACGACACATTCGCACAGAACTCGTCTGACATATGACGCACTCAACCATTATATCAGTGTTAGTGTTGTAAACGTTGTGATGACTAGACGTTTACGTCGAACACACGTCTCGACCAATAGTTCCCAATAGTAGTGTTCAGACGAGTCATACGTCGGTTCCGAACCTATACTACACTAAACCACTCGACGACTGAATAATCTTTAGGCACACAATAAATAGCGTAAGTATTCGTATATATACTGTATATTTGACTCATATATTCTATATATATATACCACTCATATATGTGTATAGTATTCCCGCTCTAATATATACAGGCATTGCATAGATTGTATATATACTGCATATATACTGAAATGTATAGATATTTCAGCGTTTTGTGTGCGACTATTGAATCGCCGATTCATTACAACATTGAAGGCATTATACGATATATACGTAGAGATTGTATACCAATAGATATGGCATTCGATTCGACATAACATCTGAGAAATGCATTTCCAGTACAACACAATACTACATAACATATGGGAGAGGGTTTGTGTGCGCCATATGTTTAGCATTGGGGAGAGAAAGTGGGAGTAATTAATATTGCGATTGAAATACATATTTGTGTTTAGTTCGCAATGAATTGATATTCGACTCGATTTTCATACTTCACACCAATTGTTGTCTCGATTCACACATTGAGTTACAGTAGTATAGCATATGTTTAGACATTACGATCAGTATTGAGGGGTAGAATGAATTGGAAGAATGCTATGGTGTGGGCGTACCTAATGGTGGCACACCGAATGTGCCCGAATATGACCATGGTCATAATGGTGATGCTTGTTCTCCCGTTGAGAGCATTTAGTGTGACATTTAGCGCTAACACCATATGAAATGTGAATATGTGTTGCGGGCATAACCGACCCTAATATTGCTAATACTGCTATATAATTGTATAACAATTCCTTATAATATCATAGTATCATAATATTACATATTACATATGTGTGAAATGACCATGTACATACTATAGTATATGAACATTACATTACATAAATGGCACACAATTTCTTAAATAATAAACAATTTTAAAATTTAATAAAACGATCGATATTTTCGCTCAATTCTAGAATAAGTTTGACATTTAATTTAGTATTGAATTTACGAAAGTTTTTGCACATAATTAACAAATTGTAGCGGTTTTTGGGGTTTATATACAACTATGCGGTTATTTGTGGTGAGTGTTTGTGTCCACACATATATCGGCTATAATTAGTGTTAATGATTGATATATGAGTTGTAATGTAACTAATGGTGTGTTTTATTGTAGGCTTTGAAACAGAAATTATCGCTGAGTTATGGACTCATTAGACGACTCGAGTGGTAATGATGTGAACGATAGCCACGGAAATGAAGGTCTATTACTACTACACCCCCACCCCCTCTACACCCCTCTA